ATTAAAATCGATTCGAATAGTACATCCCTAGTATGGCGTGTAGTTTAAGGTTATGTTTAAAGTTATTCGTGGGTTATTAAACTCGCACAAAAACAAAACAGAAAACAACAAAAAACAATGCAAACAATGCCAAATAAACCTGTAAAAAAGTACTTTTATTATTCAAAATGAAATATCATATAATTCAGTTGGTATACGAATATTTTTTGATTTATTTATAATGTTTTGTGTCAAAAATATGTGAGAAATGAGGTAAAGAGTTTAAATGTCTTAATAAATTTGTTTTTAATTTATTAACCTTTCAGGTATCTACCTAATGGTAGGAAGAAATTAATTATGTAATGGTAGGAAAAAGAATTTCACTTTAATTAAGTATTAGAAAATCAGTAATCTTAAATTAGGATGCATCAATGGAGAAGAAGGCAATTGTAATCACAATACAATAATAGATCTACAAATACCAAGCAATACATTAAATCAAAAATCTCAGTAACATTGTTGTTAATTATGTACTCCCTGTGGTCTTATTAAGTATAAAGTTTTGTTTTACATGAAAATAATTATCCCATTTAATTATGCATTAAATTTTAGTGTCCGCTTATTGATAGCTCGATTACCAGTCAAACAGTTTCGATGTTTTCTATACTATGAAGAAAATTTGATCTGATTAGATTAATTCAGATGTAAATTTATGTTATAGGGTAAGATATTCTTAAACAAACCAAGAGGAGAATCCTCACACACCCCAGTAACCTAAACCAGGTCCAAAGTCCTACTCCAGCCCCTCTTCCCACCCCGAACTTATCCTTTCATCCTTCCCCCCCCCCATGCACGGGATAGAAAGTTCTCTTCAGACAAGTTCTGATCTGAAATTGCAAATATTAACGAAAAAGTTATACATGTAGTTTTCTATTCATAAATGATATTATTGATTTTATTCTAGGTGAATGTATCGAGTCATATATTCTGCAGAATATATTGACAAAAATGGTAAACTAACTAAAAGTGCTAACAAAATTTCTTAGGAAGTTATCAATATACCTAATTATTAGAAGCTGTAACAAATGTTCAAAGAGTCAGAGTATACTTTATTAGAAGTGTGTTAGATAGAATTATACACTTTAAAGAAAATATCTTTTATTATTGCAGGTAATGCATATTGTGTAATGCATATAATATGTGAAATCTATTATTACATACAAAGATTGAAAATTATTTAAACAGCTACCTGTATGTTGTCTCACAATTTCATTTAGTGAATGGGTTATTAAAAATTGAACATATCTACACAGAATATTGTGGATATGGATATCTGGAAAGCATGTTATAACCATTTTTATTTTTAGGATTTATGAAATGATTACATAAATATACTAACAACAAATTGCAATGCATCTGTATATTAGAGACAAAGATGAAAGAGATATATTGACAAAAATGGTAAACTAACTAAAAGTGCTAACAAAATTTCTTAGGAAGTTATCAATATACCTAATTATTAGAAGCTGTAACAAATGTTCAAAGAGTCAGAGTATACTTTATTAGAAGTGTGTTAGATAGAATTATACACTTTAAAGAAAATATCTTTTATTATTGCAGGTAATGCATATTGTGTAATGCATATAATATGTGAAATCTATTATTACATACAAAGATTGAAAATTATTTAAACAGCTACCTGTATGTTGTCTCACAATTTCATTTAGTGAATGGGTTATTAAAAATTGAACATATCTACACAGAATATTGTGGATATGGATATCTGGAAAGCATGTTATAACCATTTTTATTTTTAGGATTTATGAAATGATTACATAAATATACTAACAACAAATTGCAATGCATCTGTATATTAGAGACAAAGATGAAAGAGAGAAACAAGAATATATGTATTCAAAAGAAAAATATCAAGACCATTTGTAGTAATTAAAATTAAAGAATAAAATACATAAAATATACCGTATGATCGAAAAAAAAACGGCGTCCAGTTGGCTGGGAAATGACGATCAATGACATTTCCCATATAAATTTACATATAAAATGACAGCGACCTTCATTTCATAGCCATTGTTGACGCCGTTTTTTCTCGATCATACGGTAGTTTATGTGTGAACAAATTCTCATTTCTTATAAAAATTGGAGCTCTCTATCTAGAGTATATTGGAATATAAATGTTTTTATGTATTGGAAGGGGGACTGTAGTTTTCAAATATAATAAAGAAAATAGACTAAAAAAAACATGTGTGTAAGTTCTTTTTTAAACTATTCTGTAAGTTACGTAAATGTGTTTCAAATAGGTTGCTTTTCACAATAAAGTCAATACACAGTAATTACGCTTTACTTTTTCAAAACACACTCTTGTGTTTTATTATCAGAGAGTTATTAATATTAGAAAATTTAGTTACATGAATATAATAGGAGCAAATATTATGTTTCAAGTTTCAAATAATTAGAATATGATATGAGTCATAAATAGTCTTAAATATGATTGCTCATAAAATACCTAGTATATACACATTTAGATATATCTCTTTAAATATAAATTAGTATTGCCACCATGCGATTAATGGGAAATACAATATGGTCGTGAAAAAAAAAACGGCGTCAGCGATGGCTATGAAATAAAGATCGCTGTCAATCTATGTGTAAAATTTTATGGAGAATTTCACCGACCGTTATTTTCAAGCCATTCTGGACGCCGTTTTTTCCGACCATACGGTATTTCTAGGTATGGAATTATGTCTCTAATATGTAGTTAGGTAATTTTTTCCATTTGCCTATTGTTAATTATAACGTCGTCAAACTATAAAATTTGCTATATTTTTTAGTTAATTTTTTTTAGTAATATCAAAACATGTTTTGAATAGTTTAATTAGTAATAAAGCTACTAACATATTCAGTTATTCTTTTTTCTATAAAGCTTTTTTGATAAAAAAATGAGTATACCTGCTAAGACGTTAAATTGCCTGAGAAATTACGATCGATGCCATTTACCATCCACTTTTACACAATAGAATGCCATCGATCGTAATTTCAAAAGCAGAAAACTTGCCGCCGTTTTTTCCAATGAAATGGGCGGTGGGGAGAAAATTACAGATTCCTGTATTATATTAACGACTAACGACATTATTAATCGAGTGTACACAAAGCATGTACACTATTAGAAATCGATCTAATTTCTAATAGTATCGAGCTTTTAAAATTCGAGAAAGTGATCGGAGATTGTGTTTAAAGTGTTGTGAAATGTTCGTTAGTGCATATTTTTGTGTCGGTAATCGGTATCGGTATAGGCAAATCGCGATGAAGTATACAAATCCGGAGAAGGTGGATATGCTAAGACCATAGGTACTTAGCAGGGGAAAGCGCTGTAGAAGCTCGGAGACTTTATTCCGAAGAGTATCCGAATAGACAAATCCCTAATGCTCGAACCTTTGTAAGTATGGTTCAGCATTTGAGGGATTCGGGAAAAGCAACGAAGAATTGCTGCAAAACGTTAAAAATTCCATGCTCAGAAGAAGGAGAGCATGTATTGGAAATGGATGTCGTCATTTTGAACAATTATTATAAGAGCATGCAGTCAAGAAGCGAAGGGTATACCGGGTGGTGCATCATCGTTGGAAATATAGGATATCCCATGCAAATTTTGAACTGTCGTGATATTGGATCCCCTTGTGCAAATTTGCAATGTATCTTTAAAAACCATTTACGATTTAGCTCTAAAATTAATAGGGGAGCCAATATTTCCACAGTTGAAAATTTGCATAGTATTGTTAAGAATTGTAGTGAAGTGATGTTATTAAGTGTAGTGTTATGTGCAGTTTTAAGAGTGGTAAAATGGAAAAAAAGAAAGCTCTGCAGTTGTATCTCTCTCTGCTATAGGGATATCTTTTTTTTATTGTTTGAAAAGTTTTTTTCTTTTAGTTTATTTTGTGGAATGTGGAAAGTAGGGCTACTGGCGATCACCCACTTAAAAAAGTAACGCACCTCTGCAGAACCTCTTGGGTGTTGTGGGATTTTGCAAGTACTTTTTAAGTCTTTCTAGTCGATGTGGCAACAGCGGGAGGCGAACAAGCCGAGATCCGCGAGTCTCTCCCCGCGCCGGGATCCGCGAGATTCCCCGGCGGCTCTCAAAATGTCGCAATTTTTTTTTTTAATTTTCAAAGTTAAATAACTCGGTTATTTTCAATTTATTTTAAAAATGGTAAAGAGAAAATATGTTTCTTTTGACCAGATCTACCACCCCTTAAAATATCTGCACTCATTTCTGGGACACCCTGTATAAGGGAGCCCAAATCGAATTAAAATGCTACATTTGCCACACCATGACGTCATATATACAAGGGTATAGGAAATCTCGGCGCAGCGACGGCAGTCGGCCAACGCGCGCAAAAACCATTACATCGCTAATTGTTTATTGATATATCTTTATTAGTTTAAAAGCAAAAAATATGGGGTTTGCTTTGATACCTTGTCAAGACATAAGCGAAACTTTTAAATTGTTTCTTTTTTTCATTTAGGCCTTCGTTTTTCGTTAAATGAAAGTTATATTAAAAAAAATCTATTTTTAAACCAAATTTTCGCATGATTGAAATGATTATTCATGTTTAAAGTTTTTTTTGGTCATAAGCGCTAATGGAAATGTTTTTTTGTAAATAATTATAAAAAATTACTCCCTACGAAGACTTTATTGTGTACTGGATCAAAAAATAAGTATTTGTTTTCTCTATACGGTGGTATTAATATATCGATTTTTGATGATAGTGCCCTTTTACCCAGTCTAATTTTGTACTACTTTCGGAATAAGGGTCCCCATATCATGTACTGTACTTCCATCCCTGAAAAATTCAGCTTGTGACATCGAAGTGAGACGTAAAGTCAAAATTCAGGGGCCGGAAAGTGAAATAGCAAAAACGGTTCCACAGGTTTCCACGGAAATTTCAAATAAAATAATTCCAGCCTCGGGCGCTAGGTGGTAGTGCAATTAATTTTTAGGTAAAGTCCCTAGATATATAAAGTACCGCAATTACCGCCATATTGGCGCCAAAACTAGCGGCAAATTTAAAAAGGAGGCCAACATTTCGCTGTTTCGGCTTTTTAAGCAGCTGGTCGGTCCGGCGCCAATATGGCCGACCAACATTGACAGGCAAGCCGTAAAATAAAATATTTATTAATTGTAATAGAATTACGTTTATTATCTACAGTTTACCTTCATTTTAACGTAATATCAGGTGGTATATTAATATTCAATTTCATAAATTTAATTTTTTAGGCCTATATATGTTAAGAGGTTATAAACGAATGGTTTCCGTACAAGTGTTTTTCATTTGTATTAGCATTTATTTTATGTTACCTTTTAGCGCAAAGTACGCCAACAGAAGTAAGTTAATAGGTAAGAAGAAATAAAGTTGGAATAACATTTAGAATTTTAGTACTTAATTCAGTCGAAACAATTGGAAAAACTTTGTTTGTTGATGAGAACGGGATACCTATACCATAAGTAAACTTTCCCTATTATACCAGTTATGCTGTAGTTAGTTTTGACAAATAAGCATGATTTAACGAAAGTCTTTGGAACTATGAATAAGCTACAAACTTAAATTTGAAGGCCGGCTTTTATACGAGAAAATTTTGAACCATGGTTGAAACAAATAAATGTAATAATTAAATTGATATGATACATACCTGCTATTTTTGAAATATATTAATATATTGATAGAAAGATTGTTTCAATTAGTATTACTTCAGGTAGTTTCGGCATTTTAGGTATGTAATTGTGCACTTAATTTAAAAATAACTTAGAAAGAAGCTTGAAATGCATAAGAGCTCTTTATGTATGCTGTATAATTAAGGTTTGTTATGGAGTGGTTTTTATACAACAAATTTATTATTAGTTGAATAAAAGCAAGTTAATACCACATAATACAATTAAAATATATTTTACTCTGCAATTTAATGTTATATTTTTAAAACAACAAGTGTCATAATGTTTAAGTATCATTATAATAAAAAAGTTATACTGCTATAAATTTAACATTGAAATAACTGTAATTATTGTTATACATAAATTAAGTAGGAATAATTTTACCTCGACAATATGTAAAACTTCAAATGAATCTTAACAATTTTATGTCATGTATAAAAATCAAATTTAAATCACACACTTTTATTTATAACTGACAGTATAAGACCAAATTTTTAAATATAACTTTACATGCTTACATTATATTGTTTACTTTCTATTAGTAATTACAATATGAACCAAAAAATATTAATTACTATCAATAAATACATAAAAACTAATCTATTTAAGTCCATGAAAATAACTATATAGTTAGCATATGCATAAACAACATTCTTGTTATTAGGATCAAATTTATTTGAGCTTTTTTTCATTGTTTTGATTAATATCCCTGTTAGTCCTGACTGGTAAAACCACCTGAAGCGATGTCATCCAAATCTATATATGTATCATAACATAACTTATTCTTTTAAATAATTATCCTTCGTTTGGTCTGATGATAATATATTGTAGATTTATCTAAACTTCTTGCTGCAAAATGTTGAAAACTAAACTACACTAAACATTTTAGGGAATGATTACGTAGAGATTTCACTTACACTTAGCATCCTTTTTAAAAGATATGTATGGTAGTTTGCAAGTAAGGTCTTTGTCTTGTTCTAGATTAGATTTCTAGAGGTTGATTTCGGCCTGACCCACTGCGACCTTCTCAGATCTATTGTGGTCTTGTCTTGTTCTATAATGAAGTTTTATGTACCAGTAGGTTATACTACAAATAAGATTGTTAAAAATATTCACTGGAGCATAAATAAATTCAATCCACTACCTAACGTGTATTGAATATCGACGATGTTAGAAAACACATCAAATTTTTTCACATCAAGCGGCCTTTTCGTGTAATACACATTTCTTCACTAAAGATATCGACGCCTATACATTATTAACTAATAAATTTGTAGCATTTTAGTCGCTTTATAATTATTTTAAAATATGTGGATAAATATTTTTATCCTGAAATTGACAGCCTCTCAACATTTGACATGACAAATTCAGACAAATGTGACATTTAAACAGTCCTACCACTACAGTTTTTCCAGAAATCCAGAAATACCCCAAAAATCCGCCATTTTGGCGCCAATAACATTGAACAAACCAATTGCGGTACTTTATATATCTAGGGACTTTATTTTTAGGTTAAGAAGTTGCTACTAGTTATTGCCAGATGGCGTTCAATCAGATTTTTTTTGCAGTTTCCATAGTTTCCAACGGTCATTGTCATACTATTGTCAAATTCTCAAAAAATATTGTCGTTGCCATAGCGCCAATCATCAAAAATGATTATCAAAACGTTTTTCAAACTATAATTTGTTATATGTGTTTTTATTAGACAATTCCTTTTGTTTGTGGCCCTAAAAATATAATGTAAGTCTTTTATTTTTGCCATCAATTAAGTACCTATTTATATTTACTCCATTTACAAAACTTTGGGCGTATTACGTTGGTCTTGTTTTATTATAATAAACGATGTTTAAATATTTTACTTAAAACTAAAAATAATAAATAATATTTACACATGTTTAGCTTTAATTTTATTAAATAATTGTATAAATTATACTGTTAAGTCTTATTTTTTACACATCACAACGCTACTTGTTATTAGTATTGTTGAATTTGTGTAAAAAATAAGATTAAATAATCAAATTTAATTATTTTAGAGCAAAATTCAATAAATACGCTCATTTAAAAAGCCCGCGCTTTGATCCATTTAAAACAAGCCCTACTCAATAGATGGCGCCACTTCTGTAGGACCATTTTTCAGTATGGCAGAATCCATTCTTTTTCTAGCTCGGTATATTCTTTGGTCAAAATAAGCTTTAATCTACCTACATCATAGGTAGGTGTAGGTACTCTAGGTATATTCTACCTAGACAGTAGCTGACAGTAGTAATTAATTTGTTATCCGATAAGTAGTTGTCATTATATAAGTTTAATCATCTTATACCTCCTATAACGGTAGATTTTGGATTTTTTCCTGATTGGTTTGTTAAACAAATATATACTGGGCATATAAATGTCTAACACTTTACCAAACCAATACTGTAGTTATTTTAACCAATGCATTGTTTTGTTTTTTTAATCTCACAAATAAGAAATGTTTTATAGTTTTTATTATAAAAAACAGTGATTTTACAATTTATTTGCACCCCTTGCACTGTTTTCTGTAAGGGGTGTAACCAGGAGTATATTTCGTAACCTCTTACGATATAAGAGGGCACAAAGTGTTTTATTACTTAATGCTTAGATTAAAATTTAATAATATATTTGTACATAAAATAAAATAGACTAGAAAGTCAATTAATTAATATTGACGTAATTACTAAATAAGTACAAGATTTTTTTTCTAATTATTTTAGTGTATTTTTAGTCACCTAATTATAAAGGAGAGATATCCAACCATTGCATTATTTTACTCACAAATAAATGTTTTATGGTTTTTATTATAAAACAACGATTAATTTATTATACACCCCTTAACCCAAACACTCCAAGGAGGATATTTCGTGACCCCTTATTTAAAGTGGACAAGCTTTATTAGTCAATGTTTTAATTACCCAGCGTCTTTAATAAAAATCTAATGTAATTTTTCATAGAAATGATCTGACATAAAAAGCAAATTTTATCAAAAAACTTTTTGATTATCTACAAGGAGTAAACCGCTGACAAATGTCTGTATACTAATGCCAAAGTAATGCCAAAAATACAAATTAAATACCAAAATTTCTCATATAATGCCCCACTAATGCCAAGCTGATTCCAATATAATACCACTAATACCACGAATAATATGTAACACATTTGTTTCACGAATTAACCTGTAACAATACTGGTAGGTACGTGCACAGATTTTTTCCTAGGTAACTTAAAAGTCGTTAAAAAGTCTAATTATATTTAAAGAAGATATAATTCCAACAAATTACATTATAAGGCCAATAATGCACAAGTAATACCATTAAAATTTTAGCGTTTTTAACTTGTGTAACATATTTCTTTAACGAATTAACCTGTAACAATAGTGGTAGGTACGCGCACAGATTTTTTCGCTAGGTAACTTATTAAGTCGTTAAACAGGCCTATAAAAGCTATAACAACATAGGTAACTAATATTTATAATTTAATTCGAGTTTTAATCTCAAATAATAAATGTTTTTACTGGTGTATTTCTGAAGTGTTCATTATTAAAAGTAGATATTCTTCAAGTTATGCGAAGTAATAAGTAATGTTTCCGGTGAGACCGCGTATATGTCACCGGATTCTGGTTAGTATAAAGACTTTTTCTATAGAAAGAGTTTTTTCTATATTTTCCTTTCAAAATAAGACTAATTTCTTCTTATTCTTTTAAATATTACAGTGTTTCTTTTTCCTAAAATGTTATACTTAATTTTCGCTTAAAATTAAAAAATCACAAATGGAGGAAAATATACGTTATTGAATAAAGTTTATACAAATCACTTTACCATAACAAAAAAGTAAAAACATGTCATGGCGGAAGATATTCAGGTGGCATTTCACACATTTATCTATTAAAATCGAGATTAAAATAATAAACTTGCGTAACATGTTATACACGAGATAGAAAGTTTCAGAATCGATTAATACGCAATACGCTACGCAGTCAACTTATTCCTATGCGCGGATGAGCGTCTTCAAGACTCTTCCTTCGGCCAGGGTCACGACGCCGCCGAAGAGGAATCGGCCTACGTTTGGCTAAACAGGCTGGACACGGTGGAGTACGATATTGGCGAGTCTGAATATTTATAAAAATTTGCAAAGTAAAATATGTTGGAAAAATAATTAATCCATACATATATAAAAGCTCAAAGGGTTTTTTTGTTGCATCCATCCCGCCGAAACCGCTTTACCAATCTTGATGATTCTTTTTTTAAATGAAAGGTATATATGTGTAGATTTGTTATGAAGTATTTTTATAGTGCTTAATGGCTATTTCTTTGTGTAAAACGACTAAATACTAAAACATACCTGAAAAACACCTACACACAATACCTCCAGAAATAAATTATTTGTCATTGTCAGTGGTGTGTCAGTTAGATTATATATTACGTTTTTAGATATTTTAGAGTGAGTTCATGCCGCCAGCTTTAGATACATAAATATTAGCACAAAGGTTCGTTTAAACGACATTAGTGAATTAGCTACACAAAGCGATTTTAGGAAATTCATCCTCTTAGAGAGTAAAATTATGTTGGAACAGTTTGTTGTGTGAAAATTCCTTACATTTTGGTCTAGAAGAATGAAATCCTACAAAAAGAATTAGAAGAAATTTTTGAAATTCATCAACCAAATGGGTAAAGTTAGTAAAAATTTATATAAAATTTCGTGACCTCTGGATTATACACCCCCAATTTGGTCTAGAAGAATGAAATCCTACAAAAAGAATTAGAAGAAATTTTTGAAATTCATCAACCAAATGGGTAAAGTTAGTAAAAATTTATATAAAATTTGGTGACCTCTGGATTATACACCCCCAATTTGGTCTAGAAGAATGAAATCCTACAAAAAGAATTAGAAGAAATTTTTGAAATTCATCAACCAAATGGGTAAAGTTAGTAAAAATTTATATAAAACTTGGTGACCTCAGGATTATACACATAAAAATTGGCATAAAGATAAAGCGAATTTATGAAATTTATACACTTAGGGAGTAGAATAGGAAATAAAAGTTTGCTGTACGAAAATGCAATACTATAACATTATAAACCAGACAGTATAAAATTTTATACAAGGGCTTATTTAGTGACATCATAAGGAAATATATCTTCCTCAATTATCCTTCAAAGAATAAAAAATAACCTATAAAGAGAGTATTAGTGCTCTTAATAAATAAAAAAAAAGATGAAAAATAAAAAATGTCTATGCTC